TTTTTTTTTTTTTTTTTTTTTTTTTTTTAAATATTACCGACCAAATACTAATTATTATTTTCTCTTATTTAAATTTAAATTAAATACAAGACACATAAATGTAGATTTAAATTAGATGATACAACAATATCCTCTTAATTTAAATGATAATAATTGTTTTTAAACTAAGTTTGGGAAGGGTGTTACAATTATATTATAAACTTTAATTATTATATGAATCGTAATCAAGTGATTGTAATTATATTGGCTACGTATACAACTGGAACCACAAGTGCAACTTTGCTTCAAACACAGCCTACCTTTTTCAAAACAAAACAACGCAACCTCAAGTTGTAATTGAAAGTGGACAATTTTGAGCTGACCAAAACAACCTCTTATTTAATTATCTCTTCCATGTCTAAATTGCCAACCCGAGCCACGAGCACCTTGCAATTTCGTACAATTTTTTCTTTTCAAATACTCGAGACCATGTGTGTTATATATTGATTTAACCGTACGTGTGGGTAAAGATTCAAACATGTGGCTTTTTGGTCGATGATGTATGTCTTAACCAACTCGGTTATGCTTAAATTGGTTTAAGTAGAGATTACAGTCACTTCTAACTTAAAGGAGCGTAACAATCCTGATTTGGCGCCTGATGTCCACGTCATTCTCCTGCGATATGGTCACGTTACTTACTCCTCACTTTTAATAGTGAAGACTATTCACATAGACCAACACAGACCCTTTTAGCATCCTTTCTCCTCACTTACATGCTTCCTAGGAAAATTCTCGGGAGGTCACCTAATATAGAATTGCTCCAAGAAAAACACTGCATAACTTTAGAGTTCTTATCTATAACCACCAAAACGAAAAGGAAAGCACATCTTGTTGATACAGGTAACCATTCTATTCTCATAATTTCTCTCATTCGAATGTCGTCCCGGTTCATTCATGTACCCCTCATTTACTCGGGTGTTACAGTAAGGATTAGCTTGGAAAGATATAAAATTAAGAGTAAAAGGCTTGCATATTTGTTTTCAACGTTTTGTATTCTTATTCTTATCCTTATCCTTATCCTTATATGGTGGTTCGTAGGAAGTTTCAATTCTTCTTTTATTGATGTATGATAGCTTGTTGAAATAGTAGTTCTCGAAATCGACCCCTTGATATTCTTCGTGCAACTCGCTAATTGTGGTGAGTATTTAACGAGTCGAAAAATGTGGTTAGCATGTGACAACTCTCGAGTGATCAAAAGTAAGTGACAAGCTTTTGGACATTTGAAGGGTTGCTTTCGTATGAAGTGGAAGACCGAGTGTGACATAACCATGGTTAAGTTTGTGAATTTTTTTGAATATATAAACCAATATACATACCCATAAGCAAAAATTGAAAGTTTAGGTACAGTACAAACAAACCAGTCAAAATTTTAGAGACACAATTTATATTCATGCACGAACGGTGAACTGTTTCATTCTAAGAGTTATCAAATATTTTATAACGTTAAATATAAATAATATATTTTAAGAAAGATATTTTTGGTAGTCGAACACGACCGTATTACTCAAACAAATTAAAATTGTTTAATCATGTCAACCCAATTCGGGATTGAAAGTAGACAAATTGAATTTGAATTAAGTGTAAAATAATTTTACATGTAGCAATCGAATCATATAAGAATATAATATTTGTATATAATATAATAAAAAAATGTGGTAGGGGAGGTTAGCAAACCGTGTGGGATGTGGAATCAACTATATAATATGTATTCGAAATACAATCAAACTATATAATAAAAAAATGAAGATTCTAATTATATATGTTATGAACAGGGCTTCATGACCATCTCGGACAATCACGGCCGTCCACCTGGATTTTGATTCCCGGTCAAGATTGTTTGGTTTAGATTAAAAATATCCTCCTAATTATTAATCTTTATTACTGGAAATTGAATTGGTTGATGTCACGAGTAAAACCGAACCTTAAAAAACTCAAAATGTTCGATGCGAGACAAAATATAATCAAATTTATTTGGTCAATTTCACGCGCGTGTTTCGGGTTAGTATGATTTTGTTATAACCTAATACGTCCTCTTTTAGAAGGTATGATCTAAAAAAATGGGTATTAATGAATGGTATGATCTAAAAGGTCCAACTTATAAAACCCAATCCATGGAGGAGTTGGGGTGTGAAAATTGGGTAGCCCAAAGCAATAAAAAGATACCTCTATTAAATTAGTTAGGCAATAATTTAAATAATAGAAATATGGCCGGAAAGCGTAAATGTACATTGTCTTTTTAAGTAATAAGTTGAATACAGATACCTCTATTAAGCTTGCAAGCAGGGTAGACAAAAATAATAAAATTAAAATAATAAAATTAAAATAATAAAATTAAAATGATACGTATAAGTGTTGGATGAGTGACGACTAATTTCTCGATATTATTTTTTTGTTCCAGAAAAACAGGGTTAATTTTTTTTTACGTGGAAAAGAAATCAAAATTATTATTATTTTTTAATTTCGAGTTCTCCTACATTAATCGAATTTTGAAAAGGAAAAACATTGCTCGAGTTTGTCCAATTGCTTCCGAGTGTTTGTCTGAAAAAAGAGAACAAAAAAAAAAAAAAAGGAAAAAAAAGAAATGCGTGAGAAATGAAGGGAAACCGTCTGGCGCGGAAATGGCGAGGGAGATTTTCTTCCCCAACCTAAGTTTTTAACCTATTTGTGAATTTCAGAGATCTCTTCAGCTCGGTCTTCTTCAATCTCTCGCTTTTCAATCAATTCCTCGTCCTCTCTTTCCTGTGATTCGATTTGTAGTTCTATCAATGATATCAATCATCCATTGATTTCTGATTCCTTTCCCTTCTTTCTTGCCATGCCGCATTTGTTTTCTTCTTCTTTTATCATACTCGCAAGTGTTTCTTCTACTTCTTTTTGCTTGCACGAGATATCTTCAATACAGGACTACAACCCAGGTCATCATTTTTGTTGTGATTACTGATTTTCTGTTTGTGGTTACTCGGCTATTTCTTCTGGGGTACTTAGAGTCCTGATTTAACTACTCCCGTGCTGCAGTATTGACGTTTATTGATCGGGCTTTTCTCGGGCAATGGTACTAGAGGTTGTTGAGGCAAGGAAGAAGGGTGATTTTGGGGTTTCTGGGTTGTGATGTCTTGTGGTGGAGAAGCTGATAAGCAATGGACTTGTGCAAAAGCCGGGGCTGCAAGTTGGCAGAAAGTGGGCTTGATTGTGCGAGACATTGGCGAACCATGCCTTCCACAATCGCCCATAAAGGTTGTTATAGCTGTAAGACTCTCATCAATTACGAGTATGCATGTGACTGAATGCTATTGAATGTTGTCCTGGTTCTTCTCCTATTTATTCGCTTTATGTACGCTTTGTATTTTTAGTTGAAGTTTCTAAATTATATTGGTCAAGCAACATTCAGTGACTTTATAAGCAAGTGGAGTGTTATATAATACAAGTTATCATAATAATGCTATTTTGTGCAATGATCTTAAACTGTATTTCGAGAATTCCCGGCTTGAGTAGTACCGAGGCAGATTTCTTATTATCCTACAATTTTGTTCTCTCTTTATGTAGTGTTTTAAGATACAAATGCGTAATGGGGCTCTCTTTTCCTTGCCTATTGTTATCTCACAATAGTTGGATTATTGTGTTCTTTGACTGATGACTTTTTATTTGTGTGTTCATGTAAAGTTTGGGGTGCTGTTTCCATGGTGCAGGTGAACAGAATGCTGAAGCCAGACAAGTGGCAAGCAGCATTTGATAGTGATGGAAAGGCTTTTGGCTTTCAGAAGGCACTCAAATCAATAGTTTTGGGGGTATGTTGTATTACCATGAAAGATGACGAAATTCTATCTTAGAAGTCATTTCTTAGGTTTTTTTGTCATTTTAAACTCACATTTTATGATCAAGAGAAAGGTCTTTTAGGTTATATGATTTTCTTTAATTTTTCTTGCTATTTACCAGCAGCATCGCCTTTTTCTTTCTTGGTTTCATGATTAGCAATTTGGATTGCTTGTAAATATTTAAATTTAATGAGGAAACAAATTGGCATCCACTATATATGAAGTCATATATGAAGTCGAAAATAAACCAATTGAAAAAAACAAAAAAAACAAGTACAACAGGAGTGGAAACTAGGCAGCATATTTCTCTGCTGGCTTAGTAGTGCAAATTTTTAAGGACCTGATTTTACATGAGTATGTGTTAGGTGATTTTCTCGTCATTTTATTTTCTAGTTGTTTTTTGTATATTTTCTGCCTAAAAATCTCTGAAGGTGATCAATCAGGCCCCTTTTTCAGTAGATGAAAGACGGATGAAAGTATATTATATATATATATATATATATATATATATATATATATATATATATATATATATATATATATATATATATGTACGTATGTATATATGTATATATATATGTACGTATGTATATATATATGTGTATGTATGTATATTTTGATAGAAGGAAAATTTCATTGATGAAGAAAATGTACAAATAACCACATAGATACAAAGATGATCTCCACCTTGTCAACAAAATTATTAGGAAACATTTGCAAAATGAAAAAGAAAACTCTGATTTTGAAGACAAAAATGACATGAAAAGGACATTAGTTACAATTTTTGTTATGATTTTTTTTCTTTATATTTGATTACAAAACAGGTAGTTTTATTGATGCTTCATTGACTTACTATGATTACAACACTGAAGTTTAATTGTGGTATGGCAGGGTGTGCATCCATCTATTAGGGCAGAAGTATGGGAATTTTTGCTTGGCTGTTATGCTGTAGGTAGCACTGCTGAGCACCGTGGCCAACTAAGAAATGCCCGAAGGTTTTTACCTCACCTGGACAAAAAATCTTTGTGATGTCAGATTATTTGTGTTTATTTTTCTTGTTCATAGACATAGTTGTGCCTTTTACTATTGTGTGTATGTCAACAAGAAACAAACTATCCCCCCTTTTTATCCATTTATTATAATTGTTTTTTTGAACTTTCTGTACCCATTTTAGTTCTTTTTTTATTTTTTATTTTTGTTTTTAAAATTAAATAAAGGTTAAATTATATATTTAATACTTAAAAACTTTAGAAATAATGTGTGTTGATGGAGTTATGGCTTAATTCTCAGCAAGAAATTCGATCTTCTAGAGGGTATTGTCCTTCCAATTGTTGTTATAAGAATGTTGGAGCCGTACTGTGGTTGTAAGTTAGATCCTTGCCTAATGACTTCGACAAGAAGTTGTTAGAAGGATCACCAAGCCATGCCCATTTGTGTTCCATGGAGAATGGGGCCGTCAATGTTGCCTAATCCCAAGAGTTTGTCCTTGTGGAACAACGTTCATGCATTTTTAGTATTCTATTTTTTAGTGTTATGAGTCTACTAGGAAACTCAGTGGTCAAAGGTGAGTTCGAACCCTTCCATGCTAGAAGCTGATATTGTATGCCGTTCCCAATTTTACAGATGCTGTTAATCCTCCTAAAGGGAAGAGATCAAATGATCTTTTATTTATTTATTTTTTAATCCCTAATCAGAATCAAACTTGATTAATGAATGAATGGAAAGGAAACAGAAACTCTGAAGTAGCTTCCAGCTTGCTACTCTAGTTGGAATTAATAAATGAAGGGCTTTGTACTCTCTCTATACTCTGTTAATTGAAAACTCAAAAAGGATTCATAGGTGAGCAAAACTGAGGGATGAAGATAGTTCTCGGAAAATGTAGTTCTACTTTCGTCCCTGTACCTTTTCCTTTTTCTAAACCACCCAGAAGTTTCAACCTCATAAACATTCAACACAATCTTATGCCTACTGTACTTAGGTTCGTTAACAAACTTCCAACACCTTGAAGAGCTTTAATTGTTTCTGATGAGAGAATCCTAGTAAATTGTCCTAAGAATCCCCCCCTTGTTATGTGCCTCTTGATTTAGGTAGAGTGCACCCAGAGGGACCCAGAAAGCGAACAAGATTGCGGGGAGCCCAACCTTTAGATTCTTTTAAAGAGTTCTTAGGTTTCTTAACCATATTTTTCAGAGAGTAGCGTTGTTCAGGACCAAAGAATTTTGTCCTTAGGATTGAAGAGAATCTTTAAAGATACTGTTTGACATGCTGAAAGATTCTGCTGGGGAAGCACCGTAAAATGCTGAAGGTATTTAGGAGTTTGGTTCAAATAATGTGGCAACTGGAACTTTACTCTACAGAATACGTTGGTTCGAAGTCTAAACTTGGTATGAAAAGAGAAGATTAAATATCCTTAAAGGGGAACTCTGATTACAATGAGAATATATCCTACTCTTACATGTTGGGTAAACTGAAGCTTAAAAGGTAGGCATAAAATAGATCTGAAAAGATTATAAATCCCTGAAATAAAAGGACATGAGCACTGATAGGAATATTAACCTTGCAAAAATCCAGCTTCCCACCCAAATTCCTTTCTGAAATACCAGTATGCAGAAATTTCTTTGCAATTATATCCAATTTGCAGTGGAGCGTTTCTATCTTTCCTGCTTAAATTGTTTATTCTTTTGTTTCCTCTTTACTTTTTTATTGCTCTTTTCACTACCTTCTAAGTTTTGTTTCTTTTGAGCATTAGTCTTTTTTCATCTCTTCAATGAAAAGTTTCTTTCATTGTTTAAAGAAAAGACCATCAGCGATTTCACAACTTTTTGCATAACTTAAGATTTAAAATATGTGCACACAATAAATTCTTACTAGAGTATCTTTTTTCTTCTCTGTTGTTCTTCCTTCCCTCCTCCTTTATTATCTTGTTTCTTGTTTGCTAGGGGTTCTATGCCTTTTCTTATTTCATGGAACAGAATTATATCTTCTCTCTCTCTCTCTCTCTCTCTCTCTCTATATATATATATATATATTATATATATCTATATATATATATATTTATTTATTTATTTAAAATTCAAGTTTTCTTCATAGTACTTAAAGATGTAAAATTTTACGGCCTCATGGTTCCCTTCAAATAGCTATATGAAACTTTTCATGCAGGGAACGTTACAGGGACCTGATAAAGGAGTGTCGGACGATACATTCTAGCATAGGAACTGGTTCCCTTGCCTACCCTGTGGGTTCTAAAGTTATGGATATGAGGATGTCATCTAAAGATGAAGGGCCAAGGGAAGCTGAAACTGAAAGTAGAGAAGCTTCCGTTCATAATACTAATACAGTAGAAGATTCTTTTTGTAGGGATAATAATTGTATAGATAAATCATACACATGCCAGAGGGAAAGCTCGAGCGATACAGCAGAACTTGCAAATGTTAGGAGAAGTCCAGATAGTGCAGCAAATGGGTCCACTTGTTGTGAACCCATTTCTGGTCCTTGCAATTGTTATTCCTTAAAAGTAGGGAGTGAAGCAGATGGATCAGCAATTGTTACAGAAAATGATTATGATTTTCCTCCACTACCTGTCATTGACTTGTTTGACAAGGAAAGCAAAGATAAGAACAAATATTTCCTGCATAATGCCAGTCTCTCTACTCAACGCAAATTGAGATTTGAAGATGGCAGCATGCACAGTTTTCAGATAAACAACAATGAAGAATTAGTTATTGAATCAAATGCCTCATCCTCTAACAATGTTTCTCATCCCATTAGCTCTGAAATTGAAATTATACAGCTTGATTCAAGTGATCCAGAACTCCAGCATAATAGCTTGTGCAATAAAACAGAACCAACAAACAGATCGATATCCAATGTACCAGAAACGGCATATCTAAATGCAAAAGTCTACCATAATGGTGCTGTCAGTGAAGCTAGAGTATCTGAATGGCTTTGGACCCTGCACCGAATAGGTACATTTCAGAAAGCAGAAGATTTGTGTTTGTGTCCTAATGTACCAATCTAATTTTTCAATCTTATTTGACTCACATATTGTTTTTATCCAGTGGTAGATGTGGTTCGAACAGATAGTCATCTTGAGTTCTATGACAATACGAGAAACTTAGCTAGGATGTCAGACATCCTTGCAGTTTATGCATGGGTTGATCCTGCGACTGGTTATTGTCAAGGTTGTGGTTTTTTTTATATCATTTTTCTCATTCATATTTTCCACTAACATAATTTTCTGCAAAAATATGGTATTATGATTTCAGGAATGAGTGACTTGCTATCTCCTTTTGTTGTTCTATTTGAGGATAATGCTGATGCATTTTGGTGCTTTGAGATGCTCTTAAGAAGAATGGTACTTTTCAGTACTGTTGGGAAATATCTTGGGCTGGATTTCTTATTATCTCTCCCTCTAACACACTGTTGCCATATTTCAGCGTGAGAATTTTCAGATGGAAGGCCCAACTCGGGTGATGAAACAGTTGGAAGCATTGTGGAAAATTTTGGAACTTACTGACAGGGAAATCTTCACTCACTTGTCGCAGATAGGTGCTGAGAGCCTACATTTTGCATTTCCGATGCTGTTGGTACTTTTTCGTCGGGAGTTGACATTTAATGAGGCACTTTGTATGTGGGAGGTTAGTGTTCCTTTTCATTCAGCGTTCGGAAAATTAGAATTCATTATTATTATTATTATTTTGTTGCTTATGGGGCAACTTGTGGATGGGTATGAACTGATTGAAGGACTATAGCGTAAATCGCAAACTCTGTGAGTTTATATTTTTTCTGAAGTCTTGTTCAAATTTCTATGCGCTTCTAACCACAAAAAGAGAGCATCATGCGGAAGCTGTGGGGAAGCTTTGAAGTTGGCTATATCAAAATGGTTCTTCCAAACTCTGGATTTGTCTTAAAAAATTGGTCGATTCCTTTCAAGCCAAATTTACAAAAATATGTATGTGACCGCATTAACCCATAGAAGATTAGCTTGAGGAGGTAAAACAGGACCCGGAAGTAGCTGAAGAGCATTTCTACCTTTAATATTATCAAAAAACCTGCTGAACATTGAGCATCTTAAATAAACAAAACCAGCAATCAGCGTATGAGCATGAAAAAAAAAAAAGCGGTCTTAGCTTTCACCATCTTCAGCACACAATGACGGTACTGATGGCTGTAAAACCAAGGAGAAAAGTTTCTTTAAAGAGAGTCTGCTGTGTTTAAGCCGTAAAAAAGAAATCGAAGATTGAACATTGATTTTCTCGGGACTTTTAGACTTCCATATGGCTGAAAACTCATCTTTGATATTTAGTGAATGGTACATAATACAGTTCTCTCAAATTCTCTCTTTTTGTTAGATTACACCGTAATGATCGAGTATGTAATTGTGTTCTTTTTTATTTATCTAAGATTGATGTAATGTTGGGCAATTTCTTTTTGTTCATGGGTGATCTGTAATGGAAATATAATACTCAGTTTCAATCCTAACAGCATATTGTCCTTCATTTAGATGATGTGGGCTGCTGATTTTGATGAATCAAAAGCTTACAGTTTAGAGGGAAGTTGTCTGGAAGCATTGACATTACAACTACCAAGAGGCTCGGAAGTGGAAGTAAGTGAGGGACACATGGACAATGGTCACAGCAACACGAAAGAAATCTTACAATCAAATAAAGAAAATTTGGAACGTTCTTCATATGACAATGCTGGAATGAAGTCACCATCTGCCCATGCATTTTGTGGCTTGACAAGGAATCTTTGTTCAAGAAATGATCATATGAAGAAGTGCACTGTGATATCATCAACTAAGCAAGGAGATGATGAGCTTCCTGTTTTTTGTGTTGCAGCAATCCTTATAACGAATCGCCAGAAGATAATTAGAGAAACACGTTCTATTGATGATTTGATCAAGGTAGGTGCATTCGAATGCATTTTATGATAAATGATTCTGGTAAATACTACAAATTCTTTTTACGAAATATTTCTTGTTATGGCTCTTGGCTCTTATTATAGCCTAAATGGTTTTTTGGAAAAACCAAAAGACCTTTTTATAAATCCAGTTGACTGGGATATCATCATTGAGCTATCAATTTCTAATATACGTGTGTACACACACACACGCACACACACACACACACACACACACACACACATAGCTCTGTTCTCTAATATAGTTCTACTGGACATTGTTTAGTATATAAGACACTTTTCTGATTTGGCTCTAGGATGACTTTTGGTTGTCCGCATTTTTTTTACCCTTTAATTAGACGTTGGATGTACATAATATGCTTCTCGTTAGAAGAAAAACCTTTTAACCTGTAACTGAAAATCCCAGAGCAATTACTAAAGGATTTGGAAAGGGCTTTCAATTGTGTTGATTGGCCGGAGTGTCATATTGATGCAAGCTCAGAAAATTGGGCCAAGATGGAGGGGGAAGTCCATTGTGGATTGCAAGAACCCGCTAACCCTATCTTTTGCCGAAGGCAGTGCAACAGTGTTTCTTCCAAAGATAGGGCAGCGTCTTTGTAGAGAATATCTGACCATTAGGGGAGGACAGTTTGTAGGGAATATCTGACCGTTAGGGGAGGAGGTGTATCAATAATAACACTGTTTTCGCTGCTTCCAGTATTGATTTCAACATCACAAACCTTACTACTGTACTCTGAGACTTGAAAATCAAAGTTAGGGCACTTCTGGTTTGGAAGGTTGTTTTATCTTCCTCTTTCTTGTAATCTTGTTTCATTGAGACTATCAATTTCTGTGAGTTTATGAGGGTTTGTGTATGTTTACATGTTCGACATAGAAAATTACAAGTGTCTGTACCTTTAAGGAGGTTTAAAATTACTCTGAATAAATCACTCTTAATTTATTTAAATTGTTAGTTTTTTTAGAGTTTAACACGTAGGAGTCAAGTTTTCAAACTTCTAGTTGAGCTACACTCAGATGGACAGTTTAAGTTGTTAGTTGTTACACAACTTTTATAATTTTTTTTCTATCTTTCTCATTTGGCAGATTTTTAATGATAAGATGCTGAAGATACGTGTCAAAAGATGCATACGTACATCAATCAAATTGCGGAAGAAATATTTTTCCAAGGTGAGCTGCGATCTAAGTGCCTTTTCTAATCTTGCCATATTGATTATGAACGCACTAATGGCTATTAACCCTTTTCTCTTGGAGGTTAAAGTTGTATTTCTTTAGTCATAATCTGAATTGATTATCTCCATCGGTTGCTTTTATTAAGTTTAGATGCTCCATGATTACGGACCTACGGCCGTTCATTATGACCATATTATTGAATAACTTGGTGATAAGTTATAGCATAAATAGAACGACAATCACATTCTTTTTTCTTAAATTTTGGATTACAATGTATTGTAGACTAGGAGGATATGTTACGTTGCTTTGTGTGGTTTTATGGTTCATGTTTATGTTTCTATGCCATGCTGTCTTTTCCAAACAAGTTATTATTGGAGTACGATGAAACTTTGGCCTTCTCCGTAATCAGGTAATCAAGAAAAGGAGCCTCCGATCTCATGATGAGGACTAGTGCTGCGCCATTTATACAATGCAACAGAAGTACAACAATAGCAATTAGTTGAAATGAAACAGCTGATGAAAAAGGCATTGGTAGTTCATGGATTCAAGCTATGCAACTCTCTTCTGCTTCAGATCCTTCACGGTAATTTTCCAGTTGGCTCTCATTGTTTGCATCTATTACTTTCCTTTGGATTATAAATATAGATATTATTTTTTATTCTTATGTTGGCGGACATTATGTTTATAGAAAATGAAGTAATACCCGTCCAATAAAAGCTAAATAATTTCCTTTTCTCTCTCATATATGCGTGGGATGGTGAATAATAGAAAACAAGAGTTTAATCCGCTCAATGAATTTCCTCTCTAGACAGGACTTGGGGGACTTGTGTACTCGTTCTTTGTTGTACTTTCCATGCCTCCCTTTGTATCAGTGATGAAAATCTTAGAGAGTGTTACAGTTTCTCTTAGATGGGTTTTGTTTATACTCTCCAAGGGGAGTTGCAAGAAATTTAGATGTCCAAGATCCTCATATGTTCTAGAACTTAGACATTTGACATCCTTGAATTTTGCTAGAAAATCTTGCGTCTGGTAGGACTTGTAGATGTGAATTCACTGTAACATATGATCCAATGATACTTAAGTTTTCTTAACATGTAATGTTCGATAGAGTTATATTCATGTGCTAACTATTACTTTTATATCTGTGCCTCTAATCAATGTATTTCTTCTTTCACAGTGATGCATAAGATTTTAATTTCTAATAAATTCACTCTCTTTTGACCTCATTATTGTGAGATCAGTGCAGAGATTATGAAATGGGAAGAATTATCTTTGCTTCTGTCGTCTACAATTGGCAATAGGAATTCAAGGACATTGATTGATTTCATATTCAAATCATTGTTCCTTCAAATATGGTAGTAGTGAGTGCCCCGAGGGCGTGTTAGAAACGATGTCATACATCAGTCCCGAGTGGAAGTTAGTTAGTGTATTTGATTTTTGATAGTTTTTGTCGAGAAGAGAAGCGGAAGAGGGTGAAATATGAAGTTAGAACACTGTTATACAACCTTCAACACTGATTAGAACAAATTACACATCCTACAGAGAGGAATTCGTAGTGTTCCAATTCTTTGTATGCCATTGAAGCCAAAATAGCATCACTGTATGTGGAGGTCTTGTGTTAACCTCTGTTTTTTATATATATACACATTTCCCTGATACAAAGTGGTCTTAATTTTGATTGAACGATGCGCCACCTATATATTACACAAATTCACCATTTTTCTTCCCCTAGTTCATCTTCCCTGCAAGATTCAAATCCATTGCCTACAAAATGAACACAAAATCACCGCAGATGGCGTCGCCGGTTAATTTTACGGCCAAAACCAACCGGCTGATCCTGAAATTGCGTAATCCATTCGGGTCGAAAACGGAAACTCGGCTGGCTTTGATCTCCGGCAATGGAGTCTTTCTTTACGGAAAAGCTCCGTCGGCGGCGCGAAGACAAAGAGGCGGCTTTTCTGGATAGTCAAAGAATTAATTAATTAATTAATTACTTACCTTACATTCGTTTGGTAAATTAAGATTTTATTAATGAATAACTAAAATGTGTTTCTTTTATGATATTGTTATAAAATTATTATTATTATTATTATTATTATTGTATTATATTATAACATCATAATTGTAAATAATAACTAAAAGAGAATCGTTGTACATTAATAATTGATACAATTTTTTTAACAAAAAAAATACTTGTGCAAAATTGCTGTGAGAAAATATGAAATTATGAATAATAAAAAAGGGTTAAAAATCTAATGCCTTTTAAATCGAATGATTGTAAAAGAAATAAAAATAAAATTTTAGCAATTAAAAAAAAGGTTTGAAATAAAAAAAAAAGAAAAAAAAAAGAAAAAGAAAAAATATGATTAAAGAAAAAGGGAATCGTGGTTGGGTTGGAAGTGGGGTAGAACGGACATTTCACTTGAATAGGGAATCCTTTTCTACCCGGAGGACAAAGTTCCATGCTCCAAAATTTTTGAAATATCTCTCACAACTAATTAAATTATTAAATTAATTTTATTTTTATACATCAATTAAATGTCATAAATAATTTGATTAAATCAAAATAGAATGTAAGAGAGTGGGATGATTGTCCGGTGAACATTAATCGAGTGTATTTAAATAGAAGAATTCCAAAAATTGAACTCATTTTAATATTTTAAATTACTATTTTAATGGAAATTATGGTTTAGCATATTTTTAAATTTGCTGTAATTTTAAAAAAAGAAATTAAGAAGAAAAAGACAGGAAAATAAAGCACGAAAGAAAAAAGAAAAAAAAATGTTATGTTGGTTAGAGGAATATGTTGACACCTTCTGACGTCAAAACAACAAACCCTCTCTCTCCCTCCGATTGCCGAATACTCAGCCACCGCTCTCATCTCATTCTTTTCTGCAACTTCCTTTTAATTTATTTTGTTTTGCAGAGCTCCCTTCAGTCTTATTCCGTACAAATCTTTGACCTCTATCTGCTTCCCTCCTCTTTTTCCAGTTTCTTCATTGGTTGACTCCTCTATCTTCAATTTTTCTTTCGCGGACCTTGCTTTCTGTTTCTTCTCTGCCTTCTTTCTTCTGGGTTCCCTGATTTTGGTTCCAGGATTCTCAATTGGCGGGAGCCAACGGTCAATTATGTGGTTTTAGGAGGTGGGTTTCTTTCAATTTTGATTTTGGATTTGGATTTGGATTTGGGATTGGGAAACGGTTGAATTGTTGGGAGTTTTGATGGCTAACCCATCTGGGAACCATCAAGAAGCTGGCCAGCCCTCGTCTTCCTTCGATGGAGGGAACCCCAGCAATGGTAATTCCACCCCAGTGCCTGCAGCGGATAGTTCCAGCTCCGCTCTTGCGATGAAGCACAATCCTGGTATCTCCACGGATTGGACATCTGATGAGCAGCTCACACTGGAAGAAGGCCTTAAGAAGTGAGTTTTTTCCTGTTTTCAATTGTTGCTTTTGAACTTCTTGCTTTTGAGTTTATCCGGAAGTTGCTTAAATTAAGGGGGATTTGATTACTCCCAATGGGAATTCATTTTTGCCTTTTTAAGTTCGAGTTATTTCACCTTATTTTTGCAGCTTTTTTCGTGGCTTGGTTCATGCTTTATCATTTCAAATGGTTAAATTAGGAGATTAGTCCCTAAGTCATTTGGGGATTGGACGAGAGGAACAATTTGTACTCTTTTTTTTTAGTATCTTAAAATTCCTCTTAGTATACCAGCGACGTCTATGGACTGAACTAATTCTTATGGAGTAGTGTAAATATATATGTTAACACAGTTTGCTTCGAATGAGATTCTTGGTAGTTTACCATTTATGCGTTTATGTGGAATATGCCCCTTCGATAATCTGAACCTCACCACATAGCATCTGATAATAGTTCTTGCACTTATTCTTGGCCAGTAGAGTACTAACACTAAGAAGATTTTAACTCTAACAGCCTGCCATATGACTGCTAGAATGAGTTCTAACACTGAATTCTTACTTCTAAGGTTCCGCCTGAGTTTCTTTTGTTTTCATGGCTCTTGGTATTATGAGGCCATGCTTTTTAATGAATTCTTGTGTGAATATGAGGGGTCTCTTATTTGTTCTTAGAGGCTTCTTTTCTTTTACTTTTTCATCTTTCTTTCTTCTTCATTTTCTAATGTCTCTTTAAGGGGAAATGAGGTCATAATTGAGCTGATCTCTGTGTGTAGTCTTATTATTGTTTTACCTATACCCCATTCTTCTAAATATTGCATTTTAGGTGGCCTGGTCGTCTTAGTAAATGATCTTGATTTGGTTTATATGACACAGATATGCCGGAGAGTCCAGTGTTATTCGTTATGCAAAGATTGCTATGCAGCTACCAAATAAGACTGTACGAGATGTTGCCTTGCGTTGCAGATGGATGAATGTGAGTTCCTTTTCTCAGTTCTCGCTTTTGTAAACAAATAAAATTTCTGTTTCGTGAGTAATCATGGGTACACTAGCCTTGTAATTGGTTAGAATTTACTATCAGCAAAGAAATATCCAAATTAGAGTGGCTCTATTTTGTGCTCAGTCTCACCTTTGCTTGAGGCTTCGTGAAGTTCTTGCCTTCAATGTGGTTATGTAACAACTCAAGCCCACCGCTAGCAGATATTGTCATTTTTGGGCTTTTTCTTTCGGGATTCTCCTCAAGGTTTTTAAAACGCGTCTCCTAGAGTTTCGACACCCTTATAAAGGGTGTCTCGTTCTCCTTCCCAACCGATGTAGGATCTTAGAATCCACTCCTCTTTGGGGCCCAGCGTCCTCGTTGGCACTCGTTTCTTTCTCCGATCGATGTGGGACCTCCACCAAATCTACCCCCCTTCGGGGCCCAGCATCCTTGCTAGCACATCGCCTCATGTCCACCCCTTTGGGGCTCAGCCTCCTCTCTGACACATCGTCTTGTGTTTGACTTTGATAACATTTGTAACAACCCAAGCCCACCGCAAGCAAATATTGTCCTCTTTGGGCTTTCCCTTTCGGGCTTCCCCTCAAGGTTTTTAAAACGCGTTTGCTAGGAAGAGGTTTCTACACACTTATAAAGGGTGTTTCGTTCTCCTCTCCAACCGATATGGAATCTCACAGGTTCTGTTAAACAAAGTAGGTTAAAATACATGCATATTCTAGATTGTATATATTTCAATGGTCTGAAAGTCGATGCATCCACACAATTATGCCCCTTCTGACAATTAGGGATGAAAGATGCAAACAATTTTATATCCACGTTTCTCTTGTTTTTTAAACTCAAAAGAAATGGATAAATTTTCTTCATGTTCAGGCAAATGTTTCCCCTTCAAAACTAGATTTTTTTATTTAATTTTGTATGTGGTTCTTTTTGGTCTGTGTATTTTACTATAGCAATGAAAGACACTCTATCATCATCTATGGAGATCTATATACTTTTATATCATTATTGCAGGTTTCAATTTTATTTAAGCTGTCTCTTTTTATCTTTGTTTCACTTTATTTTTGTCAGAAAAAAGAAAATAGCAAGAGAAGGAAGGAAGAACACAATTTAACAAGAAAGAATAAAGATAAGAAGGTATGATGTAAATCATTGGTGCTTCCTTTCCTCTTCCTTTCATTTCTATTACCTCTTAGTTCTTGTGTTTTCAAGCGTTGCCTCTCCTTTCAGCAATAATTACAAGTGTACTGTTTTTTCTGTGTTGTCTTGTTTTTTCCCTTGATTTATTGTACATTTTTTACTTGCAGCGTATGCATTAGTTAAACCTCTATTAAGTGCCTGATAAATGGTTGTTTCTCTCAATTTTATTCAGCGATTAAATCTGCTGTCAATTTGGGCTAGCAGTATATTAAGTAGGCTGCTAACTGGTAGCTAAAATCCTAATATCTTAAGAAACTAAACTGAACAAAAATATTAGCCTCCTTGAGCAGAATAACAACTTTTCATTGACCAATTAGAAATAGCTCCAACCAACATTATTTATTTCTGTCATTGCAGATAACATTATATTTGGCGTTCTTTACGTGCTTGCACTATTTTTTTCCCTTTATTTTCTATCTTTTTTAGAACTTTGTTTTAAAACGTTGTACCATAAGAAAGATGTAATTGTATTTTGAATGCTAATGTCAAGGATAAAACTCATTAGATTGTTGCAAAACTCATTATATTTGATGTCTTGTAAGTGCAATATGTCTTCTTTTTGTTCAAACTGTAAGTGCTTTATGTACTCTGGGGTTTTGTGTCTGTTTCTCCTTGGGGTGCTTTGTTCTCCATTGTTTTATTTCATTTCTTGTATTTTTGGGAATTCCTTTCTTTTTGGTTCGGCTTCTTGTTCTTTTGACTACCTATGGGGTCTGTTCCTCGAGCTCTATTTTTTTTCCCTTTTATATCAATGAAAAATTGTTTCTTGTTAAAAAAAAAAAAAACACGCCTTAACACTTGGAGTGTATATTTCAGTTAAAGCATCCACCATATTGTGTTTGCTTGCAGTATTGGGTTTTTAGGGAAAGATACACCGTTATATCTGTGCTCCAAAGTCCAAGACTCTTTACTTTTAACATGAAATTATCCAATGACTGCCAACCAATTGCATGAAGAACTAATCCCTTTTATTACATCCACCAGAACCAGTAAATTTTATTGTAAAATGCAAATAAATATACAAGTTGGCCATTTTTCGATGGAAAGTCTCATCATAATTTTGGCATGCTCATAGAGCTGAGGAATGATATTTTTTTTTGTTTCAGGAAAGAGTATCTGACCCTTCAATGAAGTCAGCACAGGTTGCAGCTAGGCCTAATGTGTCTCCTTATGGAATGCCTAGGATTCCCATGGACAATGATGACGGCGTCTCATATAAAGGTTTTGTTTCTACACATGTCTTCCTTCACACCACTATGTGTTTTGGGCTGTTGCAGCTCCCACTCTTCATTCTCAACATGATGGATGAGGGAGTAAATTTCATATCTGTTATTAATAGACTTGTAGGTACTGTTCTTAAAAGAAAAATATAGACATGTAGGTAATAAATCGTATAGTAATTATTCAACTGCCATGCTTGTTCTTCTGTATACCCAAACCATTTGCTAGCCCATTTTTTTTCCCTTCTCTGAAAGTTTTACCTATGTCTTTTGGTTATTTGAAGATATAAATGGTATCGTGAAGCGTGATTGTCTTTTGATAGGCGTTGTATCATCATTAGTACATGTTAAGAAACTCTTGGAAAATTTGGAATACTCTATTTTTTTTATTCTATAAAATGGATGATGCTAAAAGCTGGAAAGTTGTTCCTTCAGAGGAATTCTATGTTTGTTCATCGAAAAAATATATCTTTTCCTTCCCCAACACAGAGCTAGGTATTGTCATCCATTTGGAAACCAAAAAGCCTAATAAAGTCGATGTTCTAAACGGGAAAAATACTCCACTCAGGTTTAAATAGTGCTGAAATCTCCAAAGGGAACTTCCTTCCTCAGTTTGCTACCCTCTAGTATGCTCATTGTGTGTTGGGGATGGTGAATGGTCAAGATCACATATTTTTCTCATGTTCATTGTGGCTAATTGCTAGTTTTCTTTATTCAAGATTTTCAAAGTTTAGTGGGTCCATAACAAAGGTGCAAGCTGTCATATTTCATAATTCCAGAAATTTGGTTTCACAGGAATCAAAGAATATTTGATTCAGGTGTTTGGTTCAAGAGGATGAATTTGGAACAGCTTCTCTGCGCTTAGAAAGTTCAAAATTATCAATCTCATTATGGTTAAAGTCAAGACTTTTGATGGTGGTTAGAGAGAAATCAAAGAATTTTCAGTTGGGAGTGTTTCTATCAAAACCCTTGAGTAGATCTTGTTTGTATTTATTATTTCTTGTTGGAGTCTTTTTTCTCCCTTTCCTGCGATGCATGATTGAAAATGTCTTTTTGTTTCAAGAAGGAAAAAGAACTACGTTGTCCCCCAAGGTGGTGATTCCACTTCCCTTGTAACGGCCTAAACCCACCGCTAGTAGATATTATCTTCTTTGGGCTTTTCCTTTCGGGCTTCCCTTCAAGGTTTTTAAAATGCGTCTGCTAGGGAGAGGTTTCCACACCCTTATAAAAAATGTTTCGTTCTACTCCCCAACTAATGTGGGATCTCCCAATCCGCATCCTTTGGGGGATAGCATCCTTGCTGGCACTCGCTCCCTTCTCCAATCGTTGTGGAACCCCCAAATCTACCTCCTTTGGAGCCTAGCGTTCTTGCTGACGCACCGCCTCGTGTCCACCGCCCAAACCCTCTGCTAGCAAATATATTCATCTTCATTGGAGCTTTTTGGTAGTAGTCGTGATCAACAGCCATCAGCGGTCGGCTCGTTGGTAAGGTGAGAGCTTCAAGCCCGATTTCTAGTAGCCCATGGGGGAAAGAAAGAAAAGGAAACCTAATCAAAATGGGGCGAGTGGTCAATAGTCGCTTATAAACAATTATCTTAATTGGAATCATGTCCTCTTTGGGTTTTTTCTTTTAGACTTCCCCTCAAGGTTTTAAAAATACGTCGGCTAGGGAGAGGTTTCTACATTCTTATAAAGAATGCTTTGTTCTCCTCCCCAACTGATGTTCGATCTCACATCCCCTATCCCAAAGCTTGAGAGAAAGTCTGTTGTGCTTGTTTTAGAATGTGAGAAACAGATTCGTTTCAAGGTCTTGATGCATATTATGTTCAGGATTGCAATTGTTTTTTTTCTGCAATATACAGGAAACAAAATAATTCATTGATGAAATGAAAAATTGCAATGAAAGTTACAATTACGTTGGTTGTGAGTTTTCCTTTCGGTTTTATATATACAGGTCACAAGCAATGAAAGTTGCTTGTGAGTTCTCCTTTAGGTTATACATATTGGATTAGAAAAAGGGCATAACATTTTCATTTGTTCATTGTGATGCTTTCAGCTATTGGTGGTACAACTGGAGAGCTTCTTGAACAGAATGCACATGCCATGAATCAAATATCTTCTAATCTTGCATCTTTTCAGGTGAAGAACTTGGCTGTCCGGATCTTGTTTCACCATTTTTAAGTTTAAGCAAGAATCTACGAACGAGTAAGTAATAACTTTTTGTTTTATGCAGATACAAGATAATATCAGTCTCTTCTGCCAAACGCGAGATAACATCCTCAAAATAATGAGCGAGTAAGTAACATTACCTTCACTGCTTTTCTCCTCACTCCCCCCATTTGTACCAGCATGCTTTCCTCAGTTTTATCGAATATTCATACCCTCTTAACGTACATTTAGCAGAAAGTCCATTTTTAGCATGGAAATTCTGTTTGTCTACCACCTTGGGATAACAACTCCTCCATTTGTCTATTTTGTTTGTTATGTTCTGCGAGATAGGTTCCCATAAGTACCAAACTTTGGATCATCGATCTCGCAGAAGATAACAAACGAAATAGACAGATAGAACTAGGTGTTAGACCCTCCTGTGTCTATGCTAAATCATTTATGGAATCCGTTATGGATAGCGGGTGTATAATCCAATCTCCAACACATGGGCTGGGGTGCAAAGTCGGCACACTCGTGCCGTGACACGATTCTTGAAAGACCCATTTCAAAGGAAGACACACGAGATGCTTGTCTTGCAATGCTCGTCCACGTTGTGGCACACGTATGTGCTACAAAGTATCTTGCTTAGGCCACAAGGCCTAGGGGTGGTGGAGAGCCGACGCCATGCCTCCCCCTATAATACATTTTTAGACATTTCCAATCTTTTTGGAGTATACGTCATTTTGGCAAGCCGTCATACGACTCTGTGGAGCATCCGTCGAGTATGCGATTGACTCACCAAATTTGGTGGGCTTTCATCTTTCATATAGGTGGACTTAACTCCAGAGTTGCATGCTGGAACTCATATCGATACCCCACAAAAGTTTTGTCTATAACAAAGCTCACCATTCATATCGAAACCTCAAAACTCATGTTACCTCGTTCTCTCCAACCTTGCATATGCCTTAGCTTGGCTTGAATGTAAACTCTTGGTGTGTTAGATGATGCACCGTCCTCCTCAGTTGCATTATGACACTTGTTTATCTTGGCTTTCACATGGTCGGAGGAACGCCACTTGAGGGTCGTTCCTTGTCTGCCTTGCATGTGGGGCCACAACCTACTTTCTCTCAGTGAGGTTGTGACACTCTCCCCCACATAAGCTAGTCATCGTCCTCAATGACTTTCTTAGGGGCACAATCGCATCGCCAATTGTGACACGTGGCTTACCTTTCCCTTTGTTCCCTCCGAGATCGAGAACTTTTCCAGTTTGGTTGCTTTCCATGGATCTATATCCCTACATGTGCCTCCGTTCTGCCTAGCCTTTTTACAGTACTCATATCAAGGTATTCCTTTCTTTGGGTACTTTTCAAAGTTTGGTTTTGGTAAGTTTTTCCTTGTTAGCGTAGATAGATACCTCATTTTGAGGTTTGTTTGCAGATGGATAGACATTTTTTCTTGGATAATCACTGTTATGCTTGAGTTGGGAAAGTCCAAGTCTCATGGGCTAGATGACTTAACTTCTAATTTCTTCAATAACCAGCTACCACATTATTATAGATGATATGTTCCAACTGTTATCTGAACTTCCATGAGATCTCCTGGTCAATGTTTACTCATAGCGTAGGAAGCTCGGTTTTGGTGACTAAGACCAACTAGTTTGATTGCGTAAATTAATTTCGAGGTGTAGGTTGGTTGAATCGAAAAGTTACTAATTCCTCTCGGTAAATCAACTCTTCAGTGATAGAATCTAAATTTTGAATGCTAATTCGACCTTTTTATGATCCGTACAGTAAGTTATGGGAATTCTTGTGGATACTTAGCTTTAAAAGTCGAAAAAATTTCAATGGACTCACCGTTGAATCTTGATGGTTGTAGCTTGAACGAAATGCCCGAAGTAATGAAGCAGATGCCGCCTCTTCCAGTGAAGGTGAACGACGAGTTAGCGAACACAATCCTGCCGCCGACCGCTCACTCTATGCAATCATGAAAAGTCATCAACAACACAATCTCCCTTTCAAATTACTTCCTCAAGCAAGGAAAGGAAAGGGAAGGAAAGGAAAGCATTTTCTGCATATGAATGATCAAATTGTTTAGTTGCTTTAATTCGAGTCCACAAAGTTGTTGGTTCCTCTTTTAATTTATTTCTTCTTTTTTGTTGCTTTATAGCATATATGGATTCATACATTAGTTTGAAGAGGTAGATTGTAACTTAGATGCTGTGTAATAATTAGGAATGCTTTTCTTTCTAATGCTCTCGCAAAAATGAAAAGTCATAATAAACAATATTTCCATCAATTTTATTCAAAAATATTTATTGTAACTGGATTTTAGAAATAGTCGAGGAATAATGACCAATGATACCCTTATAAAAAATTATGAAAAAAAGTAGTCCGTCGTGCGGGCCTCCCGTTGGGGCCTGCTATGCCAAAAGCGAGAGAAACTCTATCCCTCTTTCCTTTTTACACCCCCTTGTCGCCACACGGGAGGGACATGGGGACGTAAAAAAGGGGATCCTATCAACTTATTCCGACCTAAGATAATAAGCTCATAAACTTAGTCTTACTTTACGTCGAGAAACGAAAGAAGACTTCCATCGCCAAGTTTAACTTAGACCGGGGTCTAAACAAATGATGAAAAAACTAATTTCTATGGTCATTTTTGTAATTCTAAAATTGGCTACAAATTTCTTTTGTTCTTTCTTCTCCACTTTATAACATTTTAAGCATCATCTGACCTAAAATATTTCAAGCTTTTCACACACATGAAGAATCTTCAAGGAAACCATATTCCCACTCCATGCCTTGAGATCAACTAGCTTCTAACAAGCTTCATACTCATAATTACAAAAGTAAAAACGGTATTTAGTTTAGTTCATTCTTCCTTTTAGCTCAATAATTACTGAGTGAAAAATCGATTCATCAACTTTTAGAATGATAATTGATCTGTGTTCAGATTAAGCATCGTTTTACTCGTTGATTTGTTTTTATTGAAACCATCAATTTTTTTTAACCCATGAAAGTGTTCGAAGTAACGTTAAACTACAAACTTGAGCTAAACTGTTCAAAACTATATCGAAATTCAACAAACAAGGTTGCCTTTTTCTCCACGTTTCTCGCTTTAACTTCCTCACCTTGAAAATTCAACCCAACCCTTCAAATTTTCAAACCCAACCCTCTGCAAAATTCGAAGGAACCCATTCCTAAAGAAATGCTTCATTTTGGTCACAAATTCTAACCGCATTTAAAAAAAGTTGCGGGATTGCCAGGAACCACGTACCTTCACAATATCATTTCATTTTATTTCTGCATAAGTGTCTTTATTAATGTAATAACGTATTCATCATCTTGTCTTTCTCAGACCAACCTGCAACTTTCCATGTGGTTTGGTTTTTTTTTTCCTCCTAAAAAGTGGGAGATGTTGAGATTATTATTGAATTCTCTAAGATTTCGTGAAGAATTTTTTGAAAAAATTCAATTTCTAATGTATTGGGTTTTGGATTTTAAATCAGTTTTTGTTCCTTTCTTGTAAATTTGGTCATTCTGTTTCTTAAAACCAACTTCACGAAGCAAATCTTTTTTCACTTTCTTCCCCATTTTCTCTGCTTCCAATCTAAACTACTAATTCCTTTAACAGGTAGGCTGTTTTTTAATTAAAAAAATATACATTTTTTATGATTAAAATGTTTTTTTTTCCCTCTCCAGATGATGGGATCAAGAAATGGAGTTAAAGGGTTCATAATTCCTCTGATTTGGATGTTCATCAGTTCATCCTGGATTTTCCCGGAAACTGTGGGACAGAAAATTTCATCCTCCAGCTCTCTAATACAATATGGTAAAAATGGAGTCTTTTTCAAAAAGAATTAATCATCAAAGGAAGAACCTGTTGGGTTTGAAACGATTTTGAGTATCATTTTGGTGGGGGGTTTCTTGCAGGGAGAGATTCTGTGCAGAGAAATGATGGGTTGGAAGCACTTGAGGAAGAAGATAATACGGTTCGAGTTGATCCTTTGAACCATTTCAAGATGTATAGAGGTGGATATAACATCACCAACAAACACTATTGGAGTGTAAGTTCTCTTTCTCGAGTTGGGTTCGATTAAATTATGAAACTTTTTCGACTAACTTATTTGTTTGAGTCGTAAACTTATCAAAGTCGAAGAACTTTATCTCGATAGCTCAATTCAAACAACTTAAATCAATCGAACAATGAAACATGTAGGATGAGTAAAGATCTCTAATATAGATACTTATGAAAAGAGACAATATCATTCTTAACAAGTTCAAGTTGGTTTGGTTCAATCAAACTACACTGTTAATGTTTTTACGGTGTCGACGTTTTCGTGTTCTTTGTTCTTTTCAGTCAACAATATTCACAGGAGCTACAGGGTATGGGATTGGAGTGGCCTGGCTTGTGTGTGGAATAGCATATGGAGGATTTTATGCAAAAACTTTGTGTTGTGGCAAGAGAAGGGGCAAGGGAAAGTTGAAGAAAATTTCACATTGTGGGCACAAATTTTACCTATGGACCTTTCTTTTGGCTACTTTCTTCACAATTTTGGCTATGTAAGTGTTTCGAGCACTCAAAGTAGGTTGATTTTAAAGTACCATGGCTAGTTTTACTAGACAAATATTAGTTGGTTTGACACGATATAATAGATAACTGGTCGAACGAAATAGACAAAACACTGTTTAATCCCGACATATTCAATAAACACGACATAACTCATTCGCTTATCGATATCAAGAGTTAGTTAGAAGTATACGGAATCATAAACGAACGATCCAAAAATTGTATGAATGTATGATGTGTGTGGGCAGGGTGGGATGTGGATTGGTGATTGTAGGCAGCAGTAGATTTGATAGAGAGGCAAAGGATGTGGTGAAGATCATAATAGAGACAGCCAATGGGGCATTAAACACTATACAAAACACAACTTCAGCTATGAAAGATATGATTCACAACTTAGAAGCTTCTAAAGGAATTGGAACTCATGAGGAGGCAGCTGCTACAACTTTGACTTCTACCTCTCACACACTTGATGCTCAAGCTGCAAATATTCAGTGCCAAGCCAACAAGAACAGGCGCTTGATCCACAAGGGCCTCAACATAATGTAACTCTCTTCTCCTACCTCGTTTTTCAACTTTTAGTTTCATATCTAATAGATTTTTCGTTTAAGAAAGTCCTTTACGACCCTGTCATGCATAGTCATCTCTTCCTCGACGTTCTTTTAGAACGGTTGTATTCATGTTGTGCCTCCGAAGGGAAGAGACTCGCGATGTAGCTACCGAAACTTTGTAACAGCCTAAACCCACCATTAGTAGATATTGTCCTCTTTGGCCCGTTATGTATCACCTTCAGCCTCACGGTTTTAAAATGAGTCTACTAGGGAGAGGTTTCCACACCCTTAGTAGGAATGTTTCGTTCCCCTTTCCAACTGATGTAGGACCTCACAATCCACTTCCCTTAGGGGCCCCGTGTCCTCGCTAGCACACTGTCTGGTGTCTGACTCTGATACCATTTGTAACAATCCAAACCCACCGCTAGTAGATATTGTCCACTTTGGTCTGTTACGTATCACCATCAGTCTCACAGTTTTAAAATGCGTCTACTATGGAGAAGATCTAGCCCTACTCCGATCAGTGCCTCACACCGTCCAGTGACTAGTTCTAATAACATTTGTAAGAGCCGGTGACTGGCTCTGGTCGGAGTAGGGCTAGACCCTCTCCATAGTAGACGCGTTTTAAAACCGTGAGGCTGATGATGATATGTAACGGACCAAAGTGGATAATATCTACTAACGGTGGACTTGGACTGTTACAGACTTCTTCAGGTGGAACGTAGTCAAGATCATCTCCAATCAAGGCCTCGCCTCTTAGATCCCTAAACTTGACTTTCTAACATCCCGTTTGATAAACATTTGGTTTTTGAAAGTTCTTCCTTTACAACAGTTGTCATATTTATTAACGAAACATCTGAGCTTTTACCACTATCTCATAATTTGATAAATATATTGAATGGATGTGTGTATGGGTGCAGGTACATAGCGACTATGGTTACAATTTCCTTGAATCTGGGAGCTGTAATTGGTCTGTCTGGTGAGTTTGGGTGGTTTCTTAAAAACATCAAAAAGACAACTAAATCTGTTCAATAAGTGTTGATCAAAAGCTCACTTTTCTGATATTTGCAGTATTTGGGATCCTCAGATTACATAGACTATTTCACAGGTAAGCATCGATATCCACTCCGTCACGAGAAATTTCTCGAGAATGAGAAAGAAACTGTAAAAGTATTTCAAATTTGTACTCCGTGATTAAAAGGAGCTATGCACATTTCAAATCCACGTCTAATAGTATTAAGAGGCATCTATGCTATCCATGTTTCTGTCCCGGGTTTCCGGGAGCATTCGTGCATCGACTTCTAACAAAATCCAACCAAACACAACAGATAACACGACATCCTTAAACATTTTTCTTGCAGCTTCATTCTTCTGTGCTGGTTTCTAACAGTTGTGTGTTGGATGTTCTTTGGCTTGTATCTTTTCTTGAACAAGTAAAACTCTCTGCTATATTTTGAAGAACAAGATTTAGTTTGTTCATAAAAACAAAGAAGTCATATTGTTTTTGGTTGTTTGGTTTCAGTTTCTCAGTAGACAGTTGCAGAGCTCTTGAAATGTTTCAAGAAAATCCCAACAACAATAGCCTCAGTTCTATTCTCCCATGTGAGCAACTGCTGACTGCCAAATCAGCTCTAACTGATGTAAGCTCAGAGATTTATGATCTTGTTAATCAGGTAATGCTTTTTTGTTTATCTTTTTATGTTATTTTTCTATTGGCAGGTCAAATTACCCTTTGAACCTTTGAATTTCTTTTGTTTTTGCAGGTCAACACACAAATTTCCGTATCATATCCAGACATTGGTTTGGTCTGCAATCCTTTCTCAGAACCTCCATATTATGAATATCAACCCGAAAACTGTGCAATGAACACCATTCGTATCCGAGATATCCCCAAGGTAAATATGTTTGGACGTACGTACTATGTTATTGTTCTCTTTAGGTTTCAATATGTAACAGCTCAAGCCCACTGCTAGCAGAAATTGTTCTCTTTGAGTTTCTACACGAATGCTTCGTTCTCCTCTCCAACCGATGTGGGATCTCACAATCCACCCCCGTAAAGGCCAAACGTCCTCATTGGCACATTGTGTGGTGTCTGGCTTTGATACCATTTGTAACAGTCAAAACTCACTGCTATGAGATATTAGTCCTCTTTGGCCTTTCCCTTCTAGGCTTCCCCTCAAGGTTTTAAAAGCGTGTCTGCTAGGGAGAGGTTTTCACACCCTTATAAGGAGTGTTTTGTTCTCCTCTCCAACCAATGTGAGATCTCACAATCCATCCCCTCTAGGAGCCCAGCGTTCTCGCTGGTACATCTCCCGGTGTCTGGCTCTAATATCATTTGTAATAGCCCAAGCCCACTGCGAGCAGAAATTGTCTTCTTTGGCTTTCCTTTTCAGGCTTCCCCTCTAGGTTTTTAAAACACGTATGTTAGAGAGAGGTTTCTACACTCTTATAAGGAATGCTTTGTTCTCTTCTCCAACCGGTATGGGATCTCACAATCCATCTCCTTGGAGGCCTCTCACACCAGTGTGGGATCTCACAATCTATCCCTTGGGGACCTAGCGTCCTCGCTGACACACCGTTTGGTGTCTAGTTTTGATACTATTGTAACAGCCCAAACTCACTACTAACAGATATTATCCTCCCTGGAATTTCCCTTTCGGGCTTTCCCTCAAGGTTTTAAAAACGCGTCTGCTAGGAAAAGATTTCTACACCCTTATAAGAGTGTTTTGTCCTCTTCTCCAACCGATGTGAGATCTCAAAATCCACCCCCTCTAGGAGCCCAGCGTTCTCGTTGGTACAGCTCCTGGTGTCTGACTCTGATATCATTTGTAATAGCCCAAGCCCACCGCGAGCAGAAATTGTTCTCTTTGGGCTTTCCCTTTTAGACTTCCCCTCAAGATTTTTAAAACGCGTCTAACAGGGAGAGGTTTTCATACTCTTATAAGGAATGCGTCGTTCTCCTCTCCAACCAATATGGGATCTCACAAAATCTATATGGTTTCACTTTAAGTTTCTACCTAAAAAAGCATCGAACAAAGCGATATTTGTTGACATTTCCATCGATACCGATACCAATACCAATCTCTATGGACATTGTTATTCTTTCAGGTGCTAAAGCTACTCACGTGTTCTGATGAAAGCAATGGAGGGTGTGAGAATAGGCAGTTCATGTCGAACTCAGAGTACAAAACGGTGGAGGCTTACACAAACTCAGTACAAGATTTCTTCAATGTGTATCCAGGCATGGAAAGCCTTGTGAACTGCCAAACAGTGAAGGATGCGTTTTCAAAGATCTTAGAACACCATTGCAGGCCTTTGGAGAGCTATGCCAACATGGTTTGGGCAGGCCTTGTGTTTGTCTCAGTTGTTATGCTGTGTTTGGTTTTGATTTGGACAATTTCAGCAAATGTTGAGCATAAACTTCACCCTTCAGCAGATGCCTCAGTACTGCCCAATTCTTCAACTACTCCAAGGATGATGGAGATGTCTACCCTTTGAGATCTTAGCTCGTGTTCTAAATTAGGATAGAATCGATCAGTGATCCGAAGAATCTCGCATAAGCGAGTTCTCGGTATGTCTAGGTTAGACCCGACACATATTTTTCTTTACACGTCGGCTAAATTATACAAAATATTGCTTATGTATATAAAGCATTTCAGTTTTGTCTATGATTTGAAACTTGTTAAACTACAACCAAAATTGGGAGACTATCATTGGTGTTCATATTATGTTCATATAAACTAATATGATCCGCCTAATTAGGGGCATGATTCTTTGGAACAATCCAAGCCCACTGCTAGTCGTTATTGTCCGCTTTGGCTCGTTACGTATAACCTCAACCTCATGGTAAACACGCCTACGATGGAGAGGTTTTGTAATAGCTCAAGCCCACCGCTAGCAGATATTGTCCTCTTTGGGCTTTTCAAAACGCGCCTACTAGAGAGAAGTTTCTACACCCTTATAAAGAATGTTTCGTTCTTCTCCACCCCTTTAGGGCCCAACGTCCTCGATAGCACTCGTTCCCTTCTCCAATCCACCCGGTTGAGCAGTTAGATTCTTGTATCAACCTCAAACACAAACACAGGATGATGAATCTCTGAGATGAATGGGTTGTTTCAGTTTCTGAACCTTTTCCTTTGACCAAATTTGTGACTGCTACCTCTTCACTCATTGCTATATGTTTTTTTTAAACAGAAGAATAGTGAAAAGAACAGTTGGGAAGTGAAGAAACAGACAAAAAACAAAGAAGAAAACATGATGATGGGTTAAAAAGGTGAAATTCAAATGGGATAAGAAAGCAAGAATTTAGGAATCCACACAAAGAAGGTTTTAAGTTTGGGACAGAGAAACGGTAAGAAAGAGAGGGGAAAAGCGATGGTAAATTTATTGTAATAATCACGAGAAAGCAACATGAACATGAACATGAACATGAGTGGCAGAGTTGGGTCTTTCTCTCTTCTTTTTTCTTCTGCTTTTGGAATCTTTTCTCTGAAACTATTCTCTGTCACTCCGACATTATCTCTCCCTCCCTCTCTCTCCCTAATATTCCTTCTGCCATCGACATCCTCCCAAAACTCATTCTCGGAATCTGACTTTTTATGCTCTCGAATCTTTCTCTCAAGCCATTCTCTACCCTTCAGACACTCCATGTCTCTCTCCTTCATCTATAAGATTATGTTTGAGAGTGATGTTTGAGAGTGTTTCTGACGAATCAAACAGTTTCTAATCAAAGAGTTTCCACACCCTTACAAGTCGGCTCAGTAGACATCTCCTTTTCCTTCATAAGTTGTTCCAGAATGCCCACTCTATGATGTTCATTTAACTTCATACAATCGTCTCGCTCTCCTAAATAGGATGAACATTTTATTCGTGCCATCTCCAACTCGACCCTAACATCATCTCATTGCATCCCTACTTGTTAAAATAGAAAGTTTTGAAATATTTTAATTAATTTAATCAAAAAGATTTAATCGAAAATCATGTTCTATAGGATAAGAAAAGAAGAGACAACAATGTTGGAGAAAGCTGCGGCATTCTTTTTGGTAAATGCGTTTATTTTTTCCAATCACCTTTCCCGAAAAATAGAACAAAATCCACGCGGTCTCTCCGCGCGTGGACGTGCAATTCCCATGATCACATAATGCGTCCACGGATGATGGTCGACAAGACGTCCTGGACCCCAACTGAGTTGTTCCGGTAAGATTCCCACGCGCGTAAGCCTCCTCTTCACGCCCACACATTAATTAATGAATTAATTATTAAAAAAAAAAAAAAGTTGTTAATTTCCATCTCCCATTTTCTTTCTTTCCTTCTGGTTCCTTCATTTGTTGCTCATGTTCTTAAAGCTTTGGTGGGTTAGTAATGAGTACACCTCCAAATATGGCAACAATCACAGCCGCCTTAGAACGCTCTCTTCAAAACTGTTCCTTAAGCCGCCACCGCCGCCGCCGCCATCATGATCATCATCAGCAACAACAACATGCCCCAAATTCCTCTTCTTCTCATCTTCTTCAACCTCCCACCACTTTGGACCTCAACTCCCATATCTCTCTCCCTTACCACTGGGAGCAGTGTCTCGATTTAAAGGTTATTTTTTTCTTCTGGGTACAGTAGTGTTGTCAGGATGGAATTTAGAGAATCATCATGAGTTTATAAGCATGGAATATATCTTTATTGGTACGAGGTTTTTGGGGAAGCCCAAAGCTCTTCTAGGTTATGTTTGAGTATTGTTGGGAGAGAGTCTTAAATTGGGTAAGTCAGGGAATGATCGTAAGTTTGTAAGTAAGGAATACATTTCCATTGATGTAAGACCTTTTGGAAGCCAAAAGCAAAGTTATGAGAGCTTATACTCAAAGTAGACCGTAGTTATTTCTACAAAAACTTATTAAGGTTTCGTGTTTGGGTATAGGATTCATTGAAAGGAAGGAACTTTAAGGGGTTTTTTGAAATTTTGTTTAATGGGTTTTGTTTAAATGTGAAGGGTTGCTTATAATTTGAAGAGAATATGGAGAATGTGAGGTTTTTTGTTTGTTTTTTTTGGCAGACGGGGGAGATTTACTACATAAACTGGAGGAATGGAATGAAGGCGAAGGAAGATCCAAGGTCTATCACAGAAGATCATTATAGTGAAGATTACTATTACTTCGACGACGACGATGATAGCGACGAGTCGTCGACGGAGTCATCTAATAACAACAACAAGAACAACAAGAACTATGCAGCAATGGAAGAACAGGAAGAACAGGAAGAAGAAGAAGAAGAGGAGGAGGATGTGTTGGTGGTGGCAGGTTGCAAGAGCTGCCTAATGTATTTTATGGTGCCAAAGCTTGTTGAAGATTGTCCAAAATGCAGTAATGGTCAGCTTCTTCATTTTGATCGCTCTGAAAATGAAATTCCATGAATGACACAGCTTTCCACTTGCTTTTCTTTCTGGGTTTTTTTTTTTTTTTTTTTTTTTTTTTTTTTTTTTTTTTTTTT